TTGTATAAAAAGGGCTATTACTATATTAAGAAATTTATGGATGATAACTCCTGGAAATTAGATGATAACGAGCTATATCTTATTTGTTTTGTGTTGTTAATTGTTAAGTAACATATCATATTAAGTGATTGCAAAATTTTTACTTACTATAACTGTTTACATACTTCCAACAAGTATTATAAATCTACATTAAATAAAAGCAAACTTGTATTTCTATTTGAAGAGGACGAAGAGAGAACGAAATGTGAAATATGGGTAAATCAGGAATGTCTAGAACAGGTAAATGAAATTGTATACTTGGGGAGTGCTTTCAGCCGGGATGGAAGATGTGATTTAGATGTGTACAGGCGTGTCGCTGCCGGGAACAAAGTCAATGGTGCCCTGAATGCGTTAGTCAAAAGGCAAGGCGTAGTGAAGAGTGCACGCCTTGCTATACATAACGCAGTATTGGCACCGACTTTGTTATATGGAAGCGAAACCTGTGTATGCCAGAAGAATCATAAAGGCAAGTTGAATGCAGTGGAGATGCGATCTCTTCGTAAAATGTGCGGCGTTACCATAGCCGACCGAAAGCGAAACAAAGAGATTCGCAATATGGCAGGATTGAAAGATGACCTTATCACAAAAATTGATAGGGGCGTACTCCGATGGTTTGGACACGTTGAGCGAATGAGTGAAGGCCGAATGGTGAAGAAAATATATAGCGCGAAAGTAAATATTAAAAGGTGTCGAGGTAGACCGAGACTAACTTTCGAAGACCATGTGAGCAACTTACTCGCAGAGAGGAAGGTCAAGAGTACTTGGATACCTAGACGTACATGTATGAAGAAGTTAATGAACCTGAAAGAAGCGAAAGAGGTATGTAAGGATCGTGACACTTGGCGATCTGTTCTCTCTGGCTACCCCGTTAGGAATTGTGCGTGAAGATAAGTAAGTAAGTAAGTATTTCTATTGAAATAAACGTCCAATCCGTATCAATCAATGAAAAAATTTATTAAATATAACACCAAGAAAATGCTTCACTTTACAGATACATTTTTTCTTAAGATTTAGCTATTTATACTCCAGGAAATCTGCCAATAACTGACGTAAACAGTTTTCCTTATTATAATGTTAAGTTAAAGATATAAAAATAAACTTCGTGATCTCAAATTAAAGATAAGTCACACATAAGTTTATGTCATAATAATTGTAGATTTGGTTCATTGAAGATGGTAATCGGGTTACAATGTAATTAGATTAATTTTCAGAAAAATAATCCGTCCGTGAAAGTCCCCCCCTCTTACCTATTTATAATACCAAAAAGCATTGCTTGCCCTGCTATGTTCCAGCCTGATGGAAATAGAGAACCAGTTTAATTTCAGGTTGCCAGGTATTCGATCTAAGTCCCCGGAGGATAAAATAATCCTTAGCGTTCCTTGTAAAACTGAGTTCACCAACGCATTGTCCATCTCATATAATCATAGACATCTACATCTATTCCCAATTAAAAATCAAAATGTTGATGCATTGTCAATCCCCGGGACTAAAAAGAAATGTCTCGTTTTCAGTAAAAACATCTCCGGTTATCTACACTCACCATACAAAATGTAGCAACATTTACGCTGGTACATATGCTTTGAAAACGTGGTCTTTTACCGGTTGAGCCGACCCACTTGTGCTACAGCCATAACATCATCTCAATTGCTTTCTTACAACCACAATTCAAACTATTTATATAGAGTATTATTTACTTTTATAAGCAATGGATTTAATAAAATATTTACGTCTAAAACATTCTCCGGTAATAGTCACAAGGCATTAAATGAGTGGGCGATAGTAGTAGTTCATAAAGCAGATGAAGATTATATGAACTTTGCCATGAAAGATAAAATATTCTTTCAGATACTTTTAGAGGATATGTCAACAAATATTCTAAAATGTTTAAAAGAGTGTGCTCCACAGTCAAATATTTACATATTAACATCAAAAATAATACTGTTAAAAATAAAATTAAAATATAGTGGAGTATAATTTATATCAAAACCGGTGAAGACAGACTTCGTAACACAAATAATCAATTGAGAGTTAATTATGAATTGACTACGGTTTTTGAAAAATATTTCACTGTTGTTTCTATTTTACGTAAGCTCCGGAGTTGGCACCAATTTTAACGCGTCTCTTCCGGTACTCCTACTCCCTAGCCGTAATCCAGAATTCTTGTAAGAAAGCTTTGGTCTATCCGATCCCTAAAAAAGGTGACCACTCAGACCCGTCCAACTACAGGCCTATCGCCATCACCTCCTCGTTCACCAAAATAATAGAGTCTATTAATTGTAACCTGCCAGCTCATGAGGTACGTTGAGGATCACCAGCTGATCAGTGATTATCAAGGCTTTTGATTGTGTTTATCATGAGGTATTAATGAGGAAAATACAACATTACGATGTCAAAAAATTTGCGTTTAGACCTATTATTTCATATTTAAATAAGAGAACTTAAAAAGTCCTTATCAATGGTAAAGGTTTCTCCGGATCAGAGTATCAATAAGCGCTCCTCAGGACTCGATTCTTTCCCTATTCCTGTTCTTAGTCCATATTAATGGCTTAGCTTGTCTTGTAGGGGACAATCACGATATAGTATTATTTACTGATGATAACTCTTTAATTTTAAAACTCAATCGGCAGTCAGTAAATTTTGACAATGTGTATAATGCTCTATCGAAATTAGTACATTATAGTTTACCGCAAATAATTTGCTCTTAAACGGAAATAAGACAAAATGTATTAAATTTACAATACCTTATGTCAAAACTTCAAATATCCACATTGGTGGTAATCTTGGGGAAATATAATATACAAGTATAGATAGTTGTACCTTGTGGATACCACTGTTTTTTTTTTTTGTATTACGACAAAAAGCTTCAATGGTGCCCCATATATCTAAATTAGCAATAAGACAGATTAGTTCTGCAGCACATGCTGAAAGAAAGATTAGAAGCCTCACCAATGTTGAGACAGCCAGATTAGTTTATTTTAGTTATTTTCATAGCGTTATGTCTTGTTGAATCTTGCTATGGTAATGCGACTGACATTATAACTTAAATTTTAACGAATTCCTTAGAGAAAAAATTAAAGAAACACACATGTTAATTTTGGCATCGCATTATTTTTATTAAAATGTAATGTATGTACATAAATACATAAATATTTTTATGTAACAATAAATATGTTTATACTTTAAGCACTAGGAAATAACATAGACTTATAATTAGTAATTCATTTATGTGGCAATGTATACGCTTTTACAACAAAATCCAGGAAAATGTTTCCAAGAAAATTTGTCATTAAAAGAGTTTAAATGTTTTGTTAAAGATAAATTGTACAAAAGGGTTATTGTAATATCAAAGTATACATAAATGAAAATAAACCCTGGATATGAGGTAATCACCACCGTGCTTGTTCTATAAAAATCATTCAAAATTGTACAAAATAAATTATTGTAAAGTAAAATATGTTTAAAAAGTCCCGCTGGGTTTCTTGCTGGTTCTTCCCACGACAGGGGTTTTTTTATGAACCAGTGGTAAATAAAAAGTGACTTTCAATAAGTATTATGCAGTAACCTACATTGCATAAAAATCATTCATTTCATTTTAACTTTTCCAAATATTCCATCTATGAGCCAATTTAAGAGGGAGGACTATGTTCAGCAGTGAACTTTATCAGGCTGTGACGGTAACGGCTGTGGCTAAACTTTTGGTTAAAAATGTTGTGTTTGTTATTTTATATAAAACGATTTTGCTTTTCTTAAGAAATATAATAAACAAAGGCTAAAGACGAAAGTATAATAAATACATTACGACATATCTAAGTTCCTCTAAAACTCTTAAAAAACTAAAGTTGAAAATAAACTATTTGAAATCTTTATTTTTAAATGTAGAGCCATGCTGTAGCTTTATTAGTTCTAGACGAGTGGGTCTTCTCCACCAAGGTAGAGCATACTCTCTCAGAATACCTGCGTAAAATAGCAGCACAGGGCTGCTGTGTTTCGTATGGCAGAGAATCGGAGACCCTCTTTACTGGATACGAGGCATTCGATTTTAGTCCTTAGGGGCAATAACGCATCTGTATTTTGATTCTTCGAGGATAAATAAAGATGTCTGTGGCGGCGCTGTCGTCGCGCCACAAGCGAAACACATCGAAGCCTAAATCACTCTATCAACATTCCGAATCATAAACAGCATATATAGAACATCTCCGAACTATCACACGGAGTGTTAGCCGCTCCCCGGGCATAACACCTTGCCCGGTGGGAGATCTCCCCTTTTCCTTCCACGGCCACATGTCTATATACCACAGCATCCACTTACCATCAAGTGGGTTGTGTGCTCATATCGACGTCCCCCGCGAATAATCCGGTAATTGTAAAAGTGTAAATGTTCAGGAAAAATAAAAAAACATTTTTCCTTAATAACTCCATTAAACAACAAGTATGAGAGACTTTTTATATCGCATATGGAGGCTAATTTTTTCAGCTATCTGGTTATTTCAACAAAATTTAAGTAGTCCCAAAGGCTTCGTTATAATTTAGCTGGATGCATTTTACTATATTAGTGTAGGCCAAGCTCTGGTCAGTAATGTCACTTACGATATTGTTCGTGTAAATTTATATTTTCGACGGCAACAATAAAATCTTGTTGCGCTATTATTCGTGTAATTTGTTTTGTACATACTGAACATTTGTAAAAAGCAATTATTAGGTTATTCGATTGTTTAACAGTAAAGTACATTTTATTGTTATGACTATTACTGTTTATTCGAATAGTTTACTTAAGTATTATTTGATGATTATTCTAGTATATTTTATGAAATAAAGGACATTCTAGTAAATAAAACAACTTTGGTTAGTTTGACAAAACACTATAGTTATTATTATCATAAAAATAGACACTGCACTGAAGACACGACTATTACACATGATTACATAATCATGAAAATTACAAAAAGGTCCAGTTAAAAATCTTAATCAGAATCCTCATCGTGACCTGATTCAATATCACAAAAGCTTAAGTTCCTATAAAATGGTTGATAATGGTAGGGAATTGCTTGGGATTTACACCGGGTTAGGAGATCATTATACAAAGCTTTTTTTATAGGGAGGGGCTTGTCGTATGCTGGCTTTAGTTCAATACTTTCAATTGTTTCGGACATCTGTTTCTGCCGAAGCTGTCTACTTCTGCCTACATCGTAATCCAATTCAATATAATCCTGATCAAAATCATATTTGAAAAGAAAACAGTTAGGTTTACTGTATGACACACTAACCTCCATCACATCGGACCATCGTACTTTTTCTCCTGTCTTATCTTGAAGCCATCTTTTGGGTTCAACAAGTTCTTTAATGTTGAGGATTTCAGGTTGTTGCATTTCTTTTAGGATGTATTTGTCTCCGGAGATTTTAGCGTTCATGATGATACTATATACTTGGTCCGGTGTGTACAAAACTTTGTTTTTCAGAGCTCTTCCAATACATGCGTGCATGGAGTCGCCTTCATTTTGGCTATGCCCACCAACAAAAAAGCGATGGGTAACGTCAACTTGAAGAGTCATTGCAATGTAAAGATACAATGCAAAAATGTATCTGTTCTTATTTTGGCCATAACAACCATCGGAGTAAAATATAATTTTGCGTATACCGTTTTCGTGTACGGTCTTGACAAATTGAAACAAGCAGCTCCCTATTTCGATGCACCCTTTTTTCCGATTTGAGCTTGCCAAACCTAACAAAACCCTAGTTTGTTTAGAGCGTCAAAACTGTAAAATTATAAATCGGGTATTTACGTTTGTAGTGGAAAATTGACACATCAGACTGGTACATTCAAAACTTTTTCTAAATCAAAAATGGCCACAACGGTGTCATCTTTATTTAGTGTTTCTTTTTCTTCTTTTTTAATTTCACGAACTCTTTCTTTCATACTCAAATGTTTCCTGTAATTTTCTTCTAAAGACGCCTTTTCAACGGAGTCAGCTTGCTGATATTATGAACATAAAGTACACTGATCCTTTTTAGGCTTAAAAAAGGAACAGTTGTAGTTAGTATTAAACACTCTTTCATACTGTCGTTTTGAAGCCATATCAACAATATCTGGATAGTTCTGATTTGCAAACTTTGTAAAGTCGGTACATTTTTGAAATATTAAGAGATTCAGACAAATATTCTCGTTTAGACTCTTTTCTCGTGTAATGCGATTCTACTTTGGGAAATAAATCAATATGATTTCTGATACTGTCTTCTGTATCTGGCTTCATTTAATGTGGTCTATTCTGATGCCTGCCTCGTTTATCGATCAAACTTTCATCTCTTTCAATTTTTTCTAAGGCCGTGTAAATCATTTGCTCATTAATAGAAAGAGTGTTTAAAAAACACCTTGCATACTTGGATTTCTTCATCTTTGAGGGGAAAATAATTTTTTAATGTTTGAGATCGGTTACTTTTTCTATTTACGGTTACCCTTTTAACATCATTTGATTTAACATGTCGTGTAATGTATTGCCATTGTAATTCTCGATTGGCAAGTTTATAAAAATTAGTATGTAGGGCTAACCTGTCTTCAGTATTAAATTTTAACGCGCAACCTTTTTTACAAGCACAATTACTTAAAATATTCTTTTTCTCATGATGTTTTTTATTACGAGCACCTTCATATGCTTGGCCTGAATTTTTAAGTTTCTTGTTCTTATTATCTCTCCATTCACTTGGGTCTCCTTTACGTTTTCTAAGAAGCATTTTTGGTTGGATTTGATTTTGATTTTCGAATTCAGGTACTTGGTTCGTTAGTTCGTTTATATCATTGAAAGCAGGCACTTCTACAGGGATAGCTTGTATGGGTGTTCCAGGTTGGCCAAGTCTGTCAGATTCCTCGTCAACAGAATTCCGACTTGGTTGATCAATACAATCCAATGGGTCTAAGTTCATATAGTTGTTAATGTCCTGTTCTATCAAATTTTCTTCAGAATCCTTTAAAAATATTCCTTCTACGTCTAATTTCTCTTGATCGGATTCGCTAAGTGTTTGGTTTATGGTCTTTGGATTTTTTTGTTGTTTTTCTCTTCATTATAGCTTATAACACATCGCAAACTTGTGTCTATTTCACAGTCATTTATCAAACTATTTTCTGCATTAAGTCCTTCATTTTGCTCTTCATCTGATAGATTGTTTGAATCGTTGTTTATCTCTGCAGCTTTATCAACAGTAATGCTGTCAGTGTCGGGAGATTCCGGTTCAATTGTTATTTCAATTTTGAATTTATGCAAAAGGTAGTTCGTTTTTTCATCGGAACTTTCTGTGGTTTCTTGTTCTTTCTGCATTAATTCTGAGTTAGTTATATTACAATCAGAGCTGGTAGGTTTAGCTGGTGTTAGTGTTTTTTCTAGGTCGTCACTTGTTGACTGAAGGGTTATCTCAACAAGGTTATGTATAGGTAATTGTCTGTGTTCATTCACTGGTGTAAGTGTAATATCTAGAAGTATAAAAGTTTATCGCTTTTTCGGAGAATTAAAAAAGTCGTAATGACAGTAGGAGACACCACGAAAGCAGTTTCACCCAGCATTAGAGATAAATTTGAAACCGTAGATGGAGATCGCGTGATGTTTTCAGTACATAGCAAATTACCTATAACTAGCGAATCACCTCCGAGACTAGAAGTATCATTTTCTTGCAAATGTGTGTTACTAGAGGAAATTTCAATAATATCCGTATTTTGCAAATATAAATGCAGTAACGAGGCTTGAAGTACTTCGACTGTCAGTTAATTGACGCTCTGGACTTGGAATGTATTCAGAACAATCAGGGAGAAATCCTCTGTGTCATTCTCGTCGTCAAAGTATTTTATATTTGATGGTTCTACAACAATAAGAAGCCTTGTTTTAAAATAAATCTTACAATATTTAAGCAGGTAATACTTAAATCGATTAAATAGGTACATAATGATGAAAACGACAATAAATTTTAGGGAACATACCTCTCAACTTGTACACTTTTGGTTTAGCATTAGCAGTAGATGATTCTGAACCTGATTGAATAGAAACTGAAATGACTACAATTTAATTAGATTAAAGGAACACATTTTCGTAGCTATTATCTGTATACTTTTCTTCTTGAATTCAATGTATTTTCTTATGTCAGTAAATTATAATTGTAAATTATAATATTTTTACTAAGTACAATAATAAACTCGTTCGACCTATATTTTAATAATTTGAAAACAGCGGTTGCTGGGATAATTTTATAGATAAGAACGCCGGCGTTAATTTGAGTACCTACCTACTACTATTACACTAGTTTGGTTTTACATTTTTTATGCTATACACTTAGGTTATGCTTTAATATACATAACATAACAATTTAATAAATACGCATACCGGAAAAAAAGTATTAAGTAGGTATAAAGTACCTATCTAAAATTACTCTTTTCTGTAATCACAGTATATAAAGAAACTCAACTTTTCTGCTAAGATCTGCTTGTTCCTGACAAATTTGAACATATTTTTTCTGGATGTACTATATGATTTTAACTGACGCGGCAACATAATTATTACAATATTGTCATATAATATTCACTTCACAAAGTATAGGTTAGTTCAAATGTATTTAAGACACAAATTTACTTCCTAACAATCAAATAATTACTTGCAGTACTTTTCACTCGAACGGACTCTTTGTGACTAATATTAGGTAAACAAACATTATTATAGGACGACGGAGCGAAGTGGGCGGAGCAACAGCTCTTGCCGTTGCAATAGGCATAACCGAAAACGGTACATGTCCTTACAGGTTAGGAAACCAGCGCGGTGTATTGGTTATAGTCTATTTATGTTTAGATGATATATTATAACTTACCCGAATAATATCGTAATATCAATATAGAAAAGGGTTGTGTAAGGGGCCACTCGATAATGAATTTAACTGGAAATCGTTTTCTTAATAAAACCCCGAATAAACCTGTACTAGCACTTACTTAAATAAGGTAGAAAACTATTTACCCGAATAATATCATAACAATGTTTACTCTCAAATCACATTGATTTTTTTTTTCGTAAAGATCTGAAACCATATTATTCGTTTAAAATACATTTTAATGAATTTTTATGGAATACACCCGTAGTTTTTCATATCTTGGTAAATAAAGATATAAAAATTCTGAAAAAAATTTACTTGGTGTATTTTAACTTCTAGATGTCGAAAAACGCATAACATGAAAAACCCCATAATAGGTCATTACCGGATTAATCACGGGGGCGTCGATATGGTACTCTTATTATATGAAAAAAAAAACTTTCTGATTCCATTTAATGGTAACGGTAAACAAAACAAATTACGCAAAGCACATTTTATCGTATTCTCCACGTGCCATTTGTAGTCTATAGGAATATCATTTGTAGTTATGTAAATAGTTTCACCTTTTGCTAAAGGACAAACTACTCGTATATCAAATAAGATTTTCCACACGCTTGTTAACCTTTGTATCGAAAATTACATTTGGGCAATATCCTATTCGTGTATATTATAAAAATTCTACGAGCCTTAAAGGCGCTCATTTGATTACTAGCTTTTCTCCGCGAGTTTATCTGCGTGGAATATATATATATATATATATATACCGAAGAAATCCAATCGTAATATATAGTACAATTTATATAGAATTAGGGTTCTGCGCAATTACCCTAAATCTTTTTCTTATCTGCCAGTTAAAGTCCCGCCATAAACGGTCCAGTCATTTTGAAAATCAGCCAGAACAGACAGACAGACTTAAACTATTTTTTGTTATATGCAACGTATATACTCGTGAGAGTATATATTATGCATTTAGTAAAAAGCTTTTATTTTGCATTACAAACGGACACTTTAATTTTATTTATTTGTAAAGATTCTACAATTAATCACCTTTGATTTTAGAATTTTATTAATTATATATACATAAATAATACTTAGTTATATTATTGTATATTATTTTAAGTCTCACGCCTATTACTCAAAGATTTTGAAAAGATCCTGGAATACCTCTCTAGCTCCTTTCATATACATTCACACCTTTGCATATATGCTCGTCAGTAAAGATACTTTTAATTTGGCCCATCGTCAATACATTGCCTACTTGGTCGACAATTTTTTGTCTACAGCATCCCTTGCTGACTGTGCCACTCACTTCTACACCATAAATTTGCTTTGCCAATCTTCCTTCGTTTATTTTTTTTCTTTTTCAAATCACGCAATTCCTTTCTCATTAATTCTTACACATTTTTAAATACTTTCTGTCATGTAATAAAATAAATTTGTATTCAAATGAAATTCCACACAATAACATTCACGCGAAAATGGCGCACGAAATGGACGTAGATTATATATAAATAAATATTCATAGCATAACAGGTTTTTATTGCACTAGAGATTTTTTTTATAGGAAAAGGGTGACAAGCGAGCACACAGTCCACCTGATGGCAAGTGGTTACTGTGGCCCATAGACATCTACATCTATCCTCGTTTACGAATCAAAACGCAGATGCCTTGTCAGCCCTGAGGACTAAGATGGAATGCCTCTGATATAATGGTTGATCATATCCTAGATGGCCCCAACTATTACATCAGATTTGATAGACCACAAATCCTCGCGAAAGAACATCGATTCCTACCAAGGATGATACGTGAGGCTATTGAAATTAAAAAAAAACATTCTAATTTCAATAGAGAAGGAGGCTGGGTACTACCACCTGCTTGGGATCCTATAATTAATAAAATTTAAATTAAACCCAAGCATACCACTGCAAGGACTTCAAAATACAGTTAGTTCATTCTGCGTAGATCGGACCAAAGACAATAATTAAAAAAGCTGAAGATACTCCGGGTTAACTTTGACATCGAGACGTCAGTCCCCTGTGACCATGGAAGCTTGAAAGCACCCGAAACGTCGGGTATTAAAAATAAAATAAATAAAATGCGATAAAATCCGTAAAATTAGTTTTAATCAATGTACAGTGTTCGCGTAAATATAAGAAATCATTATATTTTCCAAATATTCAAAATTTATTATACATAGTAATAATTAAACATACATTTCTTTATAATTATTTTCATAAGTCAAAATTGAAATGTCATAAATGCATCATACATAGTGGTCTATAACAAATATGTTACTACATCTAGACTAGTCGGACTGTGTATGTAGTTACATACACAGTCAGACTACATACGTTAACTACATACATAGATACAACGAGTTTTGGCTATATCTGCCGTTGTATTGGTTGGTGGAGCATATGTGTCGACCTCATGCGGGTGGTAGCTGGAGTGAGGATCTGAAGAGACTCACAAAGCTGCGGCTGAAAGCCACACAACGTGTAACCCCATCACCTTGAGGTGAGTGGTAGACTCATGACACGTTCTGCGGCTAGTAGCCATGCTGATCATGGAATTGGTGGTGATGTCATATACTTACATCACGTCTGCAGGAACGGCGGTCTGGCAGGTGGTGGCGCTCACGGAGGGTTACAGCCAGTGTGCCTATTTGCCTAAACCGTGTAACGTATATTCAATCTGGCTGGATTCGTTCGTATTCTGTATGACGTTAACACGCATTGACATGCGCGACTTCGGTCAATGTTTGTGCTTACACACTACCAAGGGGCCAAGTCCTCTGTTACTGGTCGCCACTTATTTTGCTGTGGACTACAGTCATGTTCCCGATGTAGCGTTCCGTTCAGGGTAGTGTGTAGTAGTTTAATAAATGTGGGAGAGCGAAACCCTTGTATCGAGTATTTTGCATAATTTTTTTATAGAAGAGGGGGCAAACGAGCATGCGGCTCACCTGATGTTAAGTGACTACCGCCGCCCATGATCAACCGCAACTCCAGTTGAAGTTGCGTTGTGATGAAGTTTGCAGGTGCGTTGCCGGACCTTTAAAAAGGAGTCAGATCTTTTCTTGAAGGTCCCCAGGTCGTATAGGTCCGGAAAAATCACTGGTCGTATAAACTATTCCACAGAGAGGTTGTACGCGGAAGAAAACTCCTTTTGGAACGTACAGTGGTGAACCGCCAAGCATCCAGATGGTGTGGGTGGTATCGGCACGTTTGCCGCGTAGTGCGTTCACGAAATTTGGTGTCTTGGATTAATCCTAACAATTTCTCAGAGCACAGTCCATGGTATATGCGTAAAAAAATGAAAAGAGATGCAACATCTCTTCGCAGCGCCAGTGAATTGAGCCGATTGGAAAGCACTCGGTCGTCGCCGATTCGAGCCGCTCTGCGCTGGATGCGGTCAAGTGTAAGGAGCTGGTACTGGGGAGCCCCAGCCCAGAGATGGGAACAGTATTCCA